CGGCCTCAAAATTTTCGGGCTTGCTAAACTCATAACCCTCTGGCAGCGCGCCAGGATGGTTAAGCTGCTGTTGCTGCTGCTGCAGCTGCAATTGTTGTTGCTGTTGCTGCTGCGATGCCTGATAATTGTGATTGGCTTGTTGCTGTGGCTGCGTCTTGGTCGCTTCGTAGTTGGGCGGCAAATAATCTGGTGCACTATACTCACCAACTGTTGCTGGCTGCACGGCAGCAACTGGCTGTGCTGGCAGCTGTGGCTGTTCTATGATTTGATCCAATGGCAATTGATTCGGATTGCTGAAGTCATAGCCAGGCGGCAAATAGCCAGGAGCCTGATATTCAGACGCTGGCGCCGTTTGTTGCGGCAATGTTGCTTGCGGCACAGGCTGTGCCAGTTGCTGTGGTGCTGGCAGCTGCTGTTGCTGCGCAATTTCTGGATTGGCAAAGTCATAGCCAGGTGGCAGGTAGCCAGGCGCACGGTAGTTTGATTGCAGCGAGTTGCCGCTGGCGATGCTGCTGCTGCTACTAGTAATGCTGCTGCTGCTGCTGGCAATGCTGCTGCTGCTGCTGGCAATGCTGCTGCTGCTGATGGCAATGCTGCTGCTGCTGCTGATGGGGGGCAAATAGGGCGGTGCACGATAGATCTGTTGCTGTTGCTGCTGCAGTTGTTGCTGTTGCTGTTGCTGTTGCTGTTGCAGTTGTTGCTGCTGTGCATAGCTGCCAGCTGTTGCTGCTGTGGGCGGCAAGTAATCATTGGCCCTATAGACAGGATTGGAGACGAGTTGTTGCTGCTGTTGCTGTTGCTCCAAGCTGCTGGCGGTGGGTGGCAAATAGTCAGGCGCCTGATAGCTTGCTGGTGGCTCGGAAAATACCTGCGGTGCCGTTGAGCTTAACACGGAGCTCAGGCTGCCGCTGCCTGTGGATTGATATACCTGCTGCTGTTGTTGTATGCTGGGCGTGGCAGCAGTGGGCGGCAAATAGGCTTGCGCGCTATAAGCAACAGTTTGCTGTTGCGTCTGCTTGCGTTGAAAATCATGCTGATAACTGGAGGAAAACGGCACCGAAGCAGCTGCTGTTGCTGCCACCGGCAATGGCCGTGCAACAGTTGCTGCCACCGGCAATGGCCGTGCAACAGTTGCCTGCAAATGGCCAGCCTCATCGGCAAAACTCAAATATGATACATCCAGGTTGTCATCGTCGACAGCCGTTGCCGTTGCACCGCCAGCATGTTGCTGCGGCGCCTGCTGATGTATGTGTATCTCCTCGTGGCTGGGCTGCGCGGGCGGCAGATAAGCACGAGCCTTGCCCTCGTAATGATTGTGCACCTCGAAGATCTGATAGCGCGAATTGCCATAGCTGCTCTCCTCGAAGCGATTCGGTTGCTTCAGCGATATATCCGCAGCGATTAAGCCACATTGCGAGCAGGCGGCGAGCGTTAACAAAGCGCCAATCAACTTTTGGCCACAAAACAAACAAAAAAATAGACAACAAAATTAGCACATTCAAAAAAAAATAAGAATTCTATGTAATTGCAAAAAAATTGCAAATCTATTTTTTATATTGCATAACACATTTTAATCCTTTCGTTTTCGTTTTCAGTTTCAGTTTTTTTGTTCTTTTTTTTTTCTGATCACTTGCACTTGTTGCTGCTGCTGCTGCTGCTGCTGCTGCTGCTGCTGCACTTACATTCATCTTCACGTTGGTCGTGCTTGAGCCCTCGATGTCCAATCGTTCAATGATGGCCCAGCTGGACCGGGCCACGCATTTTATACAAGGGCGCGCATTAGTTCAGCCTTTGCTTTAGTCTCCAGTAGCTGCGACTCTCTGTATGTGTGTGTGCGTGTGTGTGTGTGTGTGTGTGTGTGTGTCTCTTTGATGCCATCCCAGTGCCATGGTCCACACACTGCGCTGGCCTTTCATTAATTCAACGGCGCATGCGCAACGCTGCGTTTCAGCTTTTAGCTTTTTATCTCGCTCGCTCTCCCTCTCCCTCTCGCTCTCACTCACTCTCTCTCTCTCTCTCTTGGTCTAGCTCGGTTGAAATGCAAATTATTTATTGAGTTATTACAAACATATCATTCGTAATGCTCCGAAATTCGACACTATGCCAATTCCGCGGATGTATGCGCTCTGCGGATGCTATTAATTATGCCAGCAACAACAACAACAACAACAACAACAGCAACAACAACAACAATTTATCAGCTCCATGATTTAGGCTTAGCCTCAAACTGTGCATCATTCAAATTCATGAAACTTGTTTTCATTTGTTCGAATTTCAATTTTCTTAACAATTTTCGCAGCTCTCTAGAGCTGAGCTAAGCCCATGCATAGCTCAAAGGACTGCTAGCCCGAAACAGGATGAGAGCGCGCTGGGCGTGCGTGTGCGACTAGCAGATACCCTACAATCAGTGCGTAGCTGCCCTGTAAAACAAACACACACTTTGTCACACTTCACATCTTGAATAACTTCGGAGCTTATAGTCCGAGCTTTATGCAAATTTCAAAAAAGTAGTTTTTCTTTGCTTTTTATGGGTGATATATACTAAACTTTTCTGTTCTAACTCAAAATCGATATTTATCGATTTTATAAGGAAAGGAAAGAGATATCGATAGATAAATCTAAAGACAACTAGATCTGCCTAATGGGATCACAGCCTTCGACTTTTGCCTGTTACATAGCTTGGCACACAGTCAATATACCCCATCTAGAGCTTAATTCAGGTCTTCGCACATCCATATGCAGATATGGCTCATTTAATCTGATTGCTGATTACGAAAATATTTGCTAAAGGTTTCTGTCATTGCCTCACAATGCCAAAAACCTATATAAATAAAGATAAAATAAATTAAAAATAAAAATTATTATATCATTAGCTGGGCAGCTGGGCGTATATACTTAGCTGGTAGCTGCGGCCACTCTTTAATGCCAGCCAATTAATTATGTGCTAATAAACGTGTCGGCTCATTAGGGAAGTGATATCGATGCTTGCGAGTCTATCGTCTATCGCCTATCGCCTATCGCCTATCGGCTATCGGCTTATCGTTATGCGGGCCCAGCAAATGCTGGCTGAACGTCTCGCATTTGGGTGTGTCTTTGCCTTTGGGCCAAGCTCTTAAATGTCTTGTCTATAAATATTAATGAGAGAGTTTTATATGCAATGCATTTGGCACAGGCCGCGGCATTATCTAATAGATCATGTATATACTTATATATAAATGCGAGGCAGCGGCAATAATTTAATTAAAATGCATTAATATTCATTTATTGGACATGTTCAGCTATTAATTGAGACGAACCCCTCGAAAGAGCACAAAAAATAACCAATTTTTTATAATTTTCAAACAAATATTTTGTTTGTAAATATTTTATGCAAAACTTTCTTCACGCTCGAGCCGAGTCTTCGCTTTCATAGTCGCGCAAAAAATAAATGGAATAGCTTTAAATAAGCAGCTTAAAATATTTCCAATAAAAATACAAGTAAATTGTTGAGCCTTGATAATATATTTACTTTTTCTTAGTCATATTTTTAAGAAGTTTTCTCGGTTTGCTTATAATCTATTTGGAAACCAATTAACTTTTTACCTTATTCTTTTTATACCCTGAACCCATTAAAAAGGGTATAAGGGTATATTGTATTTGTGCAAAATCCAAATGTATTTAACAGGCAGAAGAAAGCATATCCGACCCCATAAAGCATATGTATATATTCTTGATCAGCATCAATAGCCGAGTCGATCTAGCCATGTCCGTCTGTCTGTCCGTCCATCCGTCCGTATGTATGAACGCAAGGATCTCAGAACATATAGATGCAGGTGCTCCTAGTGCCTGCGCAGATCGAGTTTGTTTCCGATAATCGATAACTTACTCCGTTTCCAAGCAATCGATAAAAATCTATGTCGATATCCTGTTTTTTTGGCAATTTCGGTTAATAATAAGAGCTAGAGTCCCCAAACTAGATATATAGCTTTTCAAATATAATATATATATGCATTTGATGTTGAAAGAAGAGGGTTCAGGGTATCCCCTAGTCGGGAGCTCCCGACTAGAACGTCTTACTTGTTTAAATATATTTTGTTCATTATTTTATTCCATCTTTCTTCCGTCTGCCTGTTCTAAAATAACTTATTTTCTTCGCCCTTTTTAATATCGCCTTTCTTTGCGATTCTCATGAATGCAAGTAGGGCGGAGACGTTTTCATGTGTTGGGAACCCAATAAATTTTCTGCACACCTCCCACTTTCTGTACCTTCTTTCCCAGTTTCAAGTCTCCTATATTATAGACATTATAGACTCTATTCTCTTCACTCTTTGGATATAATAAGTATCTATCTTGTGCAGCTCCCATAAGCGAAATGAACTTGCAATAATTTACCGGATAGCAATTGATGCCAATGACATCCATAATATGTCTGAGCTTGACTAACTAATTTTGTTTCACGCTTAAACCAGATCACATTTCATTCACATTTTTAATTTTGGTGTTTATTTTTTCTTATTGGTTAACCTTCTGCGTAGCGTTTCGTCTGGCCGCACGAATGCTGTGGGAATATTGAAAATGGCTTTTGCAATTGGCGGGGTGGGGGAAGCAGATGTTCACACACTCATTTCGGCTACTAATTTTGAATACTTTCACTTTTGAAAATGCATCCAAATATATTGTTCGAATCACTCATAAAATGTATTCAATGTCAATCAATGGCACAGACATCCAAATATTTTTCCAGCCATATTACGGCGGCATTTTCTTTGTTTATTTTTTGTTTATTTTTTATTAATTTTCCTATATTTATTTGTGTCACTTTCCTAACAATTAACCTTGGCCCATGAGTTAAGCCAGTAGGCCGCAGCTAAAATAACTGTTCGACACAAAAACGCTAACAAGTTGGGCCAACCGAATGGGCCATAACTGACCACCCCTAAGAGACGGACAACAAAGGCAGCTGATATCTGTTTAACGAGATATTCGTTCATCGACATGCTATAAAAATACAAAATAATATGATAAAATGACTAACAAAGGGGTAAAATGGCATGTAACAGGCAGCAGGAGGCTGGAGTTTATTTATTATTATTTTGGACAGTACGACGCGCTGAGTGGATCGAGTCGTGTCAAAACTGTCCTTCTGTGAATCTGAAGACTTCATATTTGGAAAATGAACAAAGTTTTTCATATTTTTTCGATAACTTCTGCATTTTTCAGACTATCGATAAATATCGATTGTGAAACTTGCTCTTTTAAGCAAAATCTCGAAGATTTTACAAGCTTAAGGTTACAAATTAAAAGAAAAGAAGAACAACAACTAGTTTATATTAAATCGATAACATCTTTTGAAAAATTGTATCGATAAATATCGATTGTGTGACTTGCCCCTTAAAGCAAAAACTCAAAGATTATACGATGTAATATACTCAAATATATACCTCCTCCTCGAAATTGGAAAACAACCTAGTTCCAGCTATGTGCTTTGATATTTGCACCCATTCGGTTGCCATGTTAACGATCTAAAAAGTGCATAAAGATCGGACTATAAAGACCGAAAGTTACCCAAGAATGCATTTCCTACAGACAGTTTGTGTTTGTGTGTATTTCAATATATGTAAATGTATGTAAGCAGGGAAGAAAGCTAGAATGTAGGTATTGGCAGGGTATCTTCTGGTCGGGCACGCCCGGCTTAGAGCAGTTTTACATGATTGTCATTTTCTTATAATTATTATTATGTTGCACAATAATTATTGGTATTTCTTTGATGTTATTCTATTCAAACAAGGCTCTAAAATCCATTCAAGCTAAATTAATTTCAACTCTCTTTCAATCATAACAAATATTTAATATATAATATACCCAAAGGCCAAAGCTGGCATATTTTTTTCTTCTCATTTATTTTCCCCATCTTTTGCCTTTGTCTGTGTCGATTTGCATTTACATGAATTGTCTTGTAAGTCTATTTATCAATTTTTGTGTGCTCGGCGGTGTTAATGTCAGAGACAAGATACTCGTATAGCTATTGTATCGCCGGGTATTACAAGCCCCCAATCCTCAGCTGAACAATCAAAGGTAGCAACGGCAACACCCGTAAAACAATGCCAAAAGTTGTCCCAACAAAAAACTTGCCAATGATTGTGCTCATAAAAAAAAAACAACAACATAAAACCAACAAAAAAAACATAAACACAATAATATGCAAAGAAAGGGAAAAACAATATTGAATATGAAATTGCCAGCGAGGGGCATTCGATATAAAACTATATCTACCATAGCTCTATCTATATATAAATATATATATTTTATTGGAAATGGGTGTTTGGATTATAAAACGTCAAAATCAATACACACACTGTGAAGAATATTTACATGTTTAACTGATTGATCCTCACTTGGTGATTGACTGATTGATGACAATCGCGTAATCCTAGCCTTAGAAGTTATGGAGCTGCTTTTTGCGCAGTTTATCTTCTTGCCGTCTTCTTAAAAATACTAAATTTGAAAAAAAACAAACCAAAATAGCTGTGCTGCAAAAAAATCAACTTTTTAAATATCGCCCTACTATGCGATTCTCATTTATTCAAGTCAGCCCAACAGGTATTTATGCTTTGATTTAAGGTATCTAGTAAACTTTAACTCTGATTATATTCTCTCTCTCTTTCTCTATCTTTTTTCTCTCTCTCTCTCTCTCTCTCTCTCTCTCTCTCTCTCTCTCTCTCTTTATCTTTCTCTCTCTCTGTGTATCTTTCTCTCTCTCCCTCTCCCTGTCCCTCTTAATGGATTCCCATTTTATCTCTTGACCAAGCAGCTATAAACTGCGGCTCATATGAAAAATTAAGCTATAAAATGTAATTTCGGGTTTGAACCAGCACATTTAAAGAAACCAACTGTCGTACGTAAGGTACGCTGTAGGTATTACAACTCAACGAACGCCTCGCGTGTTGACGCTGAATTTGTCAGTTGGCTGTTTGGGCTCTTCGCGCTTTGCCCACCTTGAGCACCTGCTTCCTCCCTCCCGCCCCCTTGAGCTGCGTTGCCAAGCCAGCTAATTGATACATAAAGCATGGGGTTTTTTTTTTTGGGAACAGGCGAACAGGCAGCAGCCGCGACAGCCAAAGCGTCGCCGGCGATTTTTTGGGGCGTGTTTCGGTTTTATTTCATTTTGATTTTTTTTCTTTTGCTTTAAGCTGGAACCTGAGTTTCATTGATTGGCATCATCTATTATGCATGCATGGCTATGGATGCAAATCTGAATGGATGTGGAAACACACAATTTATGCAGCCAGTTCCAATTGGGGGGGGGGGGGGGGGGGGGGGCAGCGAGGTGGTGTGGGTATGGGATCCAGCTGCTCGACGCGCTGATCTTTAATGGGCTTTTAATGTGTGGCAGATTTCTGGCCTACTGAATGGCCCCCTGGCCCCACTGTGCTGCCTGCCACTCAGCGCTGGCTTTTCATAATTAGCATTAGCAAATTGTGCTGGCAGTTTGATTAATCCCAATTACATCAATCAAACGCTCAATCGTTCAATCACACCATTTACACACATGTCCTTCACAACAACTGCGACCTTTCACCTGCTACGGCGCGGCGTATCTGGTTTCAGTTTTTGTGTTTTTTTTTTCTTTTTTTGCAGCTTTTCGTTGGGAAAAATCGCTGCCGAGACGTGTGTGGCCCAAGTGGCAAACGCCAGCGGCTAAAAACGCATCAAAAACTAAGCACGCGCGCGTTTTTTTTTTTAATATATTTATTTATTTTTTTGTTCGCTACATTTTGCCATTTTGCTAATTGCCATTTATTAACTATTTATTTGTTATTAACAAATTGAGCAATTTACAACAATAGCTTTGGCAGGCGACAAGCCAGGGCCAGGCATTGCTCGACGAGAAGATACCACGCATTTGGGCAGCAGGAGATCTTAAATTGATCTCAACTAAGACATAAGGCAACTTTTTGATACCCTTTTAGATGGGCATTATGATTTTGTCATAAAATGTGCAAGGCATAGAAGAAGACATCTCCGAGCCTATAAGGTATATATAGTCTAGATCAGCAGCAATAGCCGAGGGATTATAATCAAGTCCGCCTGTCCGACTCTTCGTTCGTCTGATTCTCTACGAACTAGTCTCCCAGTCTTGAGGCAAATGTCTTGAAACCTTGCATAGGTCCGCCTTACTATTGCAGTCAATGCAATATGTCGGAACCGGATCGTAACACTATATATCATATAGCTGTCATCGGAACGAACGGTCGAAAAACAGGTTTTTGTGTTGACAACTTCTTTGCTTTTCAACATATCTTCGAATTTATAAACTTCACCCCTCTCCCAACATGTGCAAGGCCTTGAGGCCCTGCAAGGGTTCAAATCTTACATTCTCGTTTTTTTTTAGAAGGTTTGAACCGGCATCCGCTCGCATGCTAGTCCGAATCTCCCACGTCTAGACCTTCGCCAAGCAGCACAAACCAAATGTTAAAGCTGCAAAGAAAAGAATGCGTTTGAGTTAGAACCAGCAACTTCTCGCCTGCTGGTCCAACTCTCCCACATCTAGAAAACCAAATGTTAAAGCTGCAAAGAAAAGAATGCTTTTGGGCTTGAACCGGCAACCTCTCGCCTGCTAGTCCAACTCTCCCACATCTAGAACTACGCAAGGAAGCAGCATTAAGCTTCACACACAGGTCATCAGCACGTCGCATACGCCAGACACATTTCTTTGGTTCAAACTTTGACAAAACGCGCCCGACAAGAGCTATAAATCAAATCGAGCAGCTTTTCTTCGCAAGGCAGAAAACAAAACGCTTTGCGAGCCGGCATTATATCATTATCAATGCACAATGATTCTTCAGGGAGTTTGGACCCATCTGAAGATTTATGAAGCTGCCAAGTTGAAAGACAACAGACGCCAGTTTTAAATAACAGTTGATAATATTTATTTAGTTTGTCTGCAAATATTCGGTAGTCTTTTGGCCGAGTTTCGGGCCAAAACGATGTGCAATAACGTATAATACAAAAAATACATTTGGTTACATAATTACATCATTTTTTTTCTTTTTTTTTTTTGTTGCGCTCGAAAATTTTGTGAAATCAAAAAAAAAAAATGTTTAAAAAAAAATTAACAACAATTAAAAAAATATATATATATATAATGTCTCAATTATATACAGTATTTACAGGCGCCTGGCTAGCCGCTTGGTCGGGCTTAGGCCCAGCCGCCAGCTGGCTGCCAGCCACCGCCGCCGCCGCCGCCGCCAGAGGACCAGCCACCGCCGCCGTGTCCACCGCCGCCGCTCAGCTTAATGATTTTGATGACCTTGGTGGAACCGCCGCCGCCGCCGCCACCGCCGGAGGACCAGCCGCCGCCACCGCCGCCGGAGGACCAGCCACCGCCGCCGCCGCCGCCGCCATGTCCGCCGCCGCCGCCGCCAGCGCTGCCCAGGCTGATGATCTTAATAAGCTTTATATCGCCGCCGCCGCCGCCGCCTCCATGTCCGCCGCCACCACCGCCCGAAGACCAGCCACCACCGCCGCCGCCGCCAGAGGACCAGCCGCCGCCGCCGCCACCGCCGCCGCTTTCGGTGATAACCTTGATCACCTGCACATCGCCGCCGCCGCCGCCGCCGCCATGTCCTCCGCCGCCGCCACCGCCCGACGACCAACCACCATCACCACCACCGCCGCCCGAGGACCAGCCGCCACCACCTGGCTTAGGCTTGGCCGTTACGCTGGCCGCTCCAATCAGCAGAAGACAGACAAAGGCCTGAAAAGGAATAGGTAACAGGAAAGTTAACAACAGCTACATGACTCTCAAACTACAAGTTGCTGACTTTAAAACTGTGACTTTTAGTTTCTAAAAATACTTGTGTGACTCCAAAACTGTGACTTGCTCATTGTGACTCGCCAACTGTGACTTGTAAGCAATGACTTTTAAAGTTGGCAGCAACTCTGTGACTCGGTGACTTGCAAATTGAATACTGTGACTACTAAACTGTGATCCTTGAGCTGGGATTCTAAGACTGTATCTCTATCAACTATGAAGTCACAACTGTAAATGACAAAACAGACTCTAAAACTGTGATCTTGCAGCTGACGTTCTGAGACTGTGACTCTCTCGACTATGACTGTAGAACTGTTAGCTACAAACTATGATCCCTGAACTGGGACAGTACTGAAAAATCGGACTGTGACTCTAAAACTGTCATCCTCGACTTTAAATTAAATATGGTACTTTGGCAACTTAGCTGTGATCCTAACGCCAACAATCTCTCACTGTAACTCCTCTTGACGGTGACTCTAAAACTGTTAACCGCAAACTGTGACGCCTAAACTGTAGAGGATGCAATTGCTCGCGATTTCCGTTACCGTGAACTGCACTTGTTAACAATTTGCGGAAATGGAAGTGAACGTGTGAAACAAAGTTTGTTTTTCCCTGTGACTGCAAAACTGTGACTTTAAACAATATAAAGTCCTAGCTGGCGACCACTAAAAAAAAAACCAAGCCTTTGGCAACACAAACACAACAAAAATATTTAAAAAAAAATTTAAAATTACAAAAAAAAAAACAAACAAAATTGAAATGTTGCACGCGGCGTATGCGCAATGTGCGCTTTGGTATATTGACACGTTCCACAGGCACCGTACGTACTTTCATGGCTGCACGTTGAATTATGCGATTGCTTTGTTAACTGAGTTATCGGTCTATATATATATATATATGGTTGCTCTAGTGTTATCCTGCGTTGGCTGCTTGGAGTGGAGCACGAAACAACACTGACATGACCAGAGCTGGCTGTGCGGACTTTTATACCCAACTACCATGTTGGCACACATTAACCGGAAAAACGTTTTTCCAAAAACCATTCGCTGCTCGCGGCCGCCGCATTCGCTATGCATGCAACAAGGCAGGGTGTGCGGTGTGCTGCGGTGTTTGGCATCTACAATTTTTCCCGCCGTTGTCATGATTATTGCCAACCGTCTGCAACATTGTCGCTCTCTCGCTGTGTGTGTCGGTGTGTGTTGGTGTGTGTGTGCCTGGCAATATGGGCCAAATGCTGCCGCATCATTGCCATTAGGCGAAAGTGAGACTCAGCCAGACACCCGCAGAGTCCCCCTACCCCCGCCATAGCCCCTGGCCCTTATGCAGTCAGCCAGGCAGCCAGGCAGCCAGCCAGCCGGGCAGGCAGGCAGGCAGGCAGTGGCAACAAGTCATAACAGGCAACAAACTGTTGCTGTCCCATCTGCAGCAGCATCTGCCAGCGTTGGTGTCGACTTGTTTGTGTTGCATCCGCAGCAGCAGCAGCGGCAGCCGCAACCTCAGCCGCAGCATTAACTGCACCTTTCCCATTACATAAGCAACGGCTGCTGCAGCCCAACTTGCAACTTGTTGCCCCCTTTACTTGTTGTTGGCCATTTGTTGATTAACATCTGCCTTTGTTTTTTTTTTGTTTGCCTTTAATTTGCTGTTCGTTTGCAAATCGCAGCACTTGCTGCCGTTTCTCGATTCTATATAGCATATACGCCTGGCACACGCTGCGTATGCGCAATCTGTTCAAATATCACGCATACGCAGCGTATACGCACTTTAGACATCACACAGCGCGCACTTCAAGCGCTTACGCCTGGTATTCAGCTGCAAATTATATTTATAATTTGCTGAGGGTCAGGCATTTTATTGAATACCTTCGTCTAAACGTTTGGAAGAACCGCAAAACTCATCAACTTGGCAATGCTGGCAATTTTTACCCAGCAGCTGCTTGACCAAGTGGGTTTATGGTCAAGTTGATTTGAAATATATAATATATTTTAGAAATTCAATGCTGCAATCAAAATAAATGAATTGTGGCAAAACGTTTGCTTGTAACTGACTCAAATTACACAAGCAATTGGCGAACATTATTAGCTTGAGTCGGGCGACGCCGGGTAATTTGGCATAGTAATACTGTGGCAGAAGCTTTCAAATAGTTCTAGAATATCAAAGCATATTATATTATATATATATATATTTCTATATGAAACTGCATGTCCTGACAGACTGACGGATTGATTTCACCCGCAAGCGTGGAAAAGTCGTGAAACTCTTGTACTTACCATCCGATCGGTCTCAAACTCAAAAATTTCAGAGAACTGAGTTCAAATTCATGTGTTCTCATTCGAGATGCGTTTCACACCTTTTGCAGCATACAAGCTTCCTCTGTGGCAAATGAGATTTAAAGATATTTCGGGCTGAATTTTAAGTTTCGACCGAACGGCTTCTAATTTATTTTCAAAGCTGAACATAAGAACTTAATGAATACGATTAGGGCAATTCCACGCACAACTGTGGAAACTAAGCGGAAATTGTTTGCATGCAACACAACCGAATAGGCCTCATCTCTGTTTAAATTTATTCCATACGCTCAATAAAACATATAGAATCTTTAGGAAAAGCTTTTTGCTGCCTGAAGGCAACTTTTAAACGCTTTCGGATCAATCAAAGATGGAAATTTCTATGCCTCTTTGCTGTTGCATAAACAAAATTCAATTCTTACCGATCTAAAAGCGAATATATTCGCTATGTTTTATAAAAGTTGAGGCACACAAATTGAGCTTATAATTCCCAAGTAGTTAAGGGGATTTCTTTTTGTGTAAATAAATTGTCAGACTTTGGCAATATTTCATATATTTTCAATTTAAGTAACATAAATTAGTATGAGATAATTGCCTTAATTGAGCACTCTTCGTGGCATTTGTGAAGTGGCACGTAATTTAGCTGAGTGTCAAGACAACCCGCTACAATTCTGATAAGACGAGCTGATAAGATATTCTTGGTATGATGAAAAAAAACATAAAAACTCAAGAAGTTGCCAAAACATTTATAAGAGAAGGAAAACCCTTAGTTAAATGCATTAAGCTCGGCAGCGCTGCGATCGGGATACATTTTCCAAGGAAATTGTCAAGATGATGCAAACATATTTTCACGACCCCCCCCCCCCTCTCACCCGGCTACACAGTCATACCCCGCGCCCCAGCAACGGGTTACGCACAATGCGAATTTGCAAATTGTGTATTTTGTCAGGCAAACAAAATGCAATCATAAAACTGCAATCAGCGGCACTTACACAATCGCTGCGAGGGTTGCGGTAAGCAAATACAACAACAAAAAAAGAGTTAAAACAAAATTAATAAAAAAAAAATAGTAGTAATAAAATAAAGAAGAAAAAAGCCCAAAGCTGCTGCCGAAGTCAAATGAAGTGCAGGCGGCCAAAAGACAACGTCGCGAGTCATCCCCCAAGTCTCGATGCCAGTTGCAAATCATCGAGACCAGATCCATGAAATATATACAAGGAGAGGCAGAAGAGTGAAAAAGCCAAGACACGACACCGAAAAGGCACATAAAAACAAGCAAGTGGCTCTAGCGGCATGTTACCGACTAGCGAATACCCTAAACACTCTTTTCACCCAATGGAACTCGATGTGCCCAATAGCTATACAATGAAAGATACCTGATATATATGTTTATACTACTCTGAAGCCTACAAGACAAATTTGAAGACTCTAGCTCTTAAAATCTACGAGATTCGCTTAAAAAACAGAATTCCGATAAAGATATTTATCGATTCCTTGGAAACTGGGCAAGTTATCGTTTATCGGAGAGAAATTCCTGTTGTCCCCAGTCTCTAGCTCTTGTACGTTCTGAGATCCTGGCGTACATACAAACGGACAGACGGACGGACGGACGGACGGACGGACGAACGGACGGACGGATATGGCTAGACCAACTCTTCTATTGTTGCCGATCAAGTATATATATACAATGTATATATACTTGCTATCTTCTGCCTGTGACATGCCTTTCCTCAAGTGCATCATACCCCTTTTGGCCATTTTCAATGGGTACAGGGTATTAAAAGCTGTGCAGTCAGTTGCCGCCGCATCTCTCAGCTGGCAACTGGCAACTGTCAATGGCAGCCCGTTTTGGGTTAATGATATAGGAGGTAGGTTTCCTCCTCTCGTTTGTTCGACGTAGACCCGGGCACAAAACGCTTTGCGTGATGAGATGCGAGTGCATTGTATTAATAATTATATGCGAACACTTAACCATTTGCCACTTTTTCCAGTTTAATGGGAATACTCATAGCCAAGTATTTGAATCTGCAGAGCAAGCTTGCTGGTTCTAACTCTTTGTAGCCTGCACCCATTGCAAATGGTCGATGCGTTCGTACGCAATTATCTCAGTAATCACTCTCATACAAAATTTTGATAAAAAAAAATACTCGCAAAAATACTCACAAAACCGAATGAAACTCTGAAAGAAATTTGAATTGTGTGTCAATCGAAAGGCTGCTAAATTTAGTTTTGGTAATTGAGAACACATTTTGTAAATTGTAAACGAAAACCGTTTTGAACGTGGATAAATAAAATGTGAGTATGCATTCAGCTGCATTCAGTTATAGCCAATTATTCATACTATGGAGTCGAAAACACCCAAAAAAAAAATAGTTTAAAAAAAAAACAAAAAAAAAGTCCATAAACTAGAATTGCAGGGTATTCATTCATTCAGTGCTAACCGCCCGTCGCTGTGCCCTGCGCCATCCGCCGCGAGCTCGATTGGCTACGGTAGCATCCACTGCGAGTCTTTGGTCTCCTTTTTCTTATACACTTCCTGCGGGTATACCAAGTTTGTCGCAAAGTGTGTAACCCATAGAAATACCAAATCGATTGGCCACAAACTAGATAGAAGATATCTTTATCAAATGCATCATCTATACATGGGGAAAGTTCTATTAGTATTATATTATATAGCTGCCATAGCATTGAGCAGTCCAAATTTCAGATCTTGTATGCAAATTTGTTTATATGTCAACCAAACTTGAACAAAGTTTGCATTGATAACTTTTTTCATGATCCTCCCAATTTATCATATGTAGCTCTATAAGAAAAGTCAATCGTATAATGTAAGCTTTATTGTTTTTTTTAAGACATCAGCTATTCACAACCGTATTAAATCGGCTTACTATATGGCCACAATAGGCACAATGAATCGGAAATAAAGCTTTGTCTCAAAAGCATTTGTAAGAGCCACATTCACATACATATACATACATATATTTAATTAATGGCGTGCCGAATGTAATCGTTACTTCTTTTGTTTCTATGGCAAATCTTCGTTTGAAGCCCTCTTTTGATGAAATGTAAGGGCATTCAGTCTTCGACATGCATTAGCTGCCTTTGTTTAAAGCCGCCAATGAGGAAGCAGCGTCCAAAATCGCGACAACCTCGACCTATGTGCAGGCAAAGGCGCGCATGTGTGTGCATGCGCGTGCATGTGTGTGCATGCGCGTGCATGTGTGGATCTGTGCTTGTGCATGTGTGTGCATGCGCGTGCATGTGTGTGCATGCGCGTGCATGTGTGTGCATGCGCGTGCATGTGTGTGCATGCGCGTGCATGTGTGGATCTGTGCTTGTGTTAGTGCAAGTGAGCGTATACACCCGCTGCCTGCGACGGCTGCTGCTGCTGTTTTTTAGTGTAGTGGAGCAGCAGGTCAGGCAGCGACGCTCAAGTTGTTGTTGTTGTTGTTGTTGTTGTTGTTGCAGCAGCACAAATTGCGGCTCATTTAAATGAACGCTGTCATCGCAGTTGGAACAAAACTTGTTTTCTTTTGTTTTTATGCCCTGTACTCATTGAAAATGGCTGCATTGATTTTGGGCAAACGTATGTAACAGCCAAAAGGAACACATATGTACACACTTATATGTACATATATACAAACATACATATACATATGTATATACATAGATACTGTTCTGGTCTGTTAGAGCCATGTTCTTTTGTTCATGTCAGAAATTTGGAAATATGCACTCGCCAGCTGGGTATAGGATATCTGTTAGTCGTGCACGCCCGACGCTTGCCTGCGTTGCTGTTTTTTTTTTCTTTCGCTTGTACAAATTGCGACGGTTGAACTATGAGCCCGCCGAAATTGCCGCATCGAATTCGCCGTCGCTCAGCTTAGCTCAGCTAAGCAACTGTTCATGTGTGTGCGTGTGTGTGTGTGTGCTTTGTGTTTGATTGTTTGCGCTCTCTCGCTCTGACATGCTCCTTGTTGATACAGTTGTTTACTTCTTTTTCGGGGCCGATTTGCCCAGCGGCATTAAATATATATGTATGTATGCATAATAATTTGATCGAAATATGATGTTTTCTGTGCCAAATGCCACGGCAACAACAATAACGGCAGCTCTAACAGTTGCTATCTTTGTCTGACTCGGTTGGTTTCCGCCTGTTAGGTAATAGCCGTTGCTTCCTGCAAAGCGAGACAGCAACAACAACAACAGCAACAACGGTGGCATCCTGCCAGTGTTGCCATAACGAGCGTGCATCATTTAAGGCGTCACATTCTCCACGCGCGTGCAAAAGCTTTCAAAAAAAAAAAAAAGAAAGAAAAACGCAATCATTCTCGTAATTTTGTTTTTTTTTGCTTGTTTGTGTTTTTTAAGAACAACAATTCTCTTTCCTTTTTAAAGGGGATGTGGGCTGGGCGTGGGAAGGGGGCTTATAAACAAATCAATTACAATTTGCTGGATAATGGGAATACATGTGGGAGAAGGTAGCCTGACAACAGTTTCGTAAAATTAAAAATAATAAAAAAAAATTTATATATATATATATGTGTGTGTGTGTGGTAGAGATAGTTGCGCTGCTCCCACTGCGTGCTCCAGTTCGTCCAGATTACAGGCGACCATAGCGCGCCTGGCTGGGCTTGCGATCCGTAAAGAAGTTGCGCAACACCAATATCTGGATGAGTCCAATCAGGATCACCGTTGCCGTCTCCAGCGAGGCCCAGACCATGACACGCTGATTGATATCCTCGGCACGTTTGCGTCCCTGCGCCTCGCGCAATCGATGATGCGTCTGGGCGTCGAGTATATCGTTGAGGGCCTTGTGTATCGCCTGGGATGATGTCTCCATTTGGGTTAGCACCGTGGCGTGCTCATCGACGCCGGGCAAAGCCGGCTCCTCGCCCACCTGAAAGTCCACGTAAACGATTTTGTGCGAAAACGCCGAAAACTTGTTGCTAAAGCAGGCGGTATAAACGCCCGTTGTCTCCGCAATAAACTGATGGCTATCAAAGGTGGCACGATTCAGCGAATAGATGATCTGATTCTGTGGATCCTTGAGGACCACATCCACGTCCAGCTGACCGCCGGCGGATACTTGAAATTCAAAATAGGCGCTTGTATTGCGCTTGATTTCCTCGTAAAAGCAATCCTCCGCATTGTCGCCCAAATCGAACGTGAATTCCACGGCGCAGCTGCTCTGCAGCAGCGCTGCCAGCACCAGCAGCGACAGCAACAGCATTGGGCTGCTGCTGCTGCTGTTGATGTTCTTCTTCTTGCTGCTGCTGCTGTTACTGCTGCTGTTGTTGCTGCTGCAGTTGTTGCTTTGGTTATTCAGCTGCTCGTCGCGCATTTTGATATTTCTTTTTCTTTTCTTCTCTATCTGGCTAGTTATTGACTAAAAAAAAAAGAGCGTTTGCTGCCACGCAGCAGCTGACAAGAGTTAAATCCTGCGTCGATATCGGCTTTTGCTCAGTTACAGCTGTAAAAAAAAAAAACACACACACACACATGCACATGCACACAATTAATTATCTATTCAAGCGTATTGTTGTTTGCCGGCGCTCACCTGTTTAATGGAGTTGGTGCAAGGTCTTGTCGCTCGACTGTTCGTTCGGCTCGATTGTTGGCTGTAAATATAATAACAAAAATAATAGTCAATTCCTCGTTAAAGACGGTCCAAATGTTCTGTCAACGTGTCAACACTTTTTTTTATTTGGGGCGTGCGTTGTGCAGCACTGTGCCTGTGCGCGCAGAGTTGCAAAGAACACGTATGTCTTGAGCTAACAGCGCTGACAGTTGCTGTGCGGTGGTGACACTTGCTGCATAAACAGACTGACGCGACATAGTGATAAGGAAATGTTTCACAATTTTAGCAATAATTATAAGTTAACAGAAGCGTTAATTATGTTATGTGCCAAATAAACTGAACGAAAGTTCCTAAAGATATATTATGTTAAAGAAAAACACATCAGAACATTGATATAACGGCAACACAGCTTAGATAACAGAACTGGAGCATAGCAAACATTAACAGAACGGCACAGAACATAGCAATAAATGAGCAAGTGTCACGCCGGCACACTGCTAAGTGCCTTAACAGAAACGCTAACATAACAGCACAAGAGCACTGCAGTAACGCTAACATAACAGCACAAGAGCAGAACAACATGCTCTCAGGCAAGTATCATGCCGGCACACTGTTAGTTATTCGAGCAGATACGCTGACATGACAGCACGTGAATCGCCGCTTTGCAACACTGTGCAGCAATCGAAATTGAAAGCATTTTGTTTGTTTAAATTCTGTTGTTGTTATTTGTTTTTTTTTTTTTTTTCTTTTCGTTCGTTTCGATTCATAGCCAATTGCCAATTGATACGCCAGCATGCCGGTGGTGGACCTGACTGTCGATCGCAATCTGCTGTGCCCCAATTTCGACGGCTACAAGCTCTCCTTCGATGCGGTGCCGGTGCTCCGGCAAGGCTTCGATCGCGATCCGCTCAAGCTGGAGCCGCACCTGAATCAATATTCGCTGCTGCATGTGGAGCTCTTCGCCAAGCACAATCTGCTCTTCTCGGATCCGTGGGCCCGTCACAATAGCTACTACATGAACAAGGCCCACCAGCTGGTGCTCTGCTCCTACGATGAGCAGCACGGCCAGCCGCGCGCCCAGCGTGTCGTCTATGCGATGCGGCGCGAGGATCATGGCGACGGCTATCAGCATCTGGTCGGCGACTACAACTATACGCTGCGCTTCATATCCGAGAAGTACTGCGTGGTCTGCGACGGCATGCTGACCTACCATCTGCTGGAGACGGGCGATCGCAGGCGCGACACCAGCTGGCAGCTGGTCACCCGTTCGCCGGTGACCAGCGACATGGACCAGCGCGGATTTGTGCTGTACGATGCCCGGCTGGATATGGTGCAGGAGCGCAAACAAATCTCGCTGATTGCCGGCCATGTGAGGCGACGCGAGGCCGCAACGCCGCAGCAGGCGGATGTGCATGTGATGCAGCTGATCTGGTCGCGCTGGACGCTGGACAGCCTGCCGGAGGCGGGCTGGTCGTACGTGCTGTGCGAGCAGCTGGAGACGCCCGGCTCCATATACTATTGTGCCTTTGAGCCGCGCGCCGAATCCCTGGTCGTCTGCTCAAATGGTCAGCTTCAGACGCGGGCTGAGCGCGACGCGCAGCTAAATCCGGAACTTGAGCCGACAGAGCAGCGGCAGGACCAGGTAATGGAGGAGGGGCAGCAGGAGGAGGAGGAGGAACAGGATGACATGGCGGAGCAGCCGCCGGAGCCAGAACGTCTGCCCATACCAAATCTGGAGGATCCCATTGAAGAATGTGACTTTCCATTGGGCAGCAGTGACGATGACATCAAAATGGGTATGCAACACACACACACACACGCACACACACACACACACCTAGCTAATCCTAACGCACATTTGCAGTTCGCTTCAATCTGAGCACATCCGGGATTACGCACACGATATTCCTGGGCGCGATACCGCCACTGTTTGTGACCTCGCTGCGCGCCGGCTATCCGGCGGCATTTGTGACACGTCAGGGCGTGGATGCATCCGTTTGGCTGCAATTGTATCAGCCGGCAAAGCCGGGCGAGTGGGGTGTGCGGCACGAGGGCAATCTGCATGCGTTCGGCTATGTGCAGGCATCCAAGCAGCAGCGCAAGTTTATTGACTGTTGCCCCCAGCTGGAGTATGCGGTCATATCGGAGAGTTATCGTCATTTGTTTATTTATAAGCCGCGCTATGATTCCGCCGGTGGATTGCGCAATCGCAACGGGCCGCAGGTGGTTATTGGCAAACAGAATTTGGTCACACTGGACGATGATCTGGGCGAGGTGCTCGGCCTGGTGACTGCTACAAATGTGATTACGGTGCTCACCGAACATGCTGTACTCTATCTACAGGTTTAGTTTGTATTTAAAATGGATCGAAAGGAAAAAAAAACTAAAACGAAAATTGCGCACGCCCTTTTTTAAATATTGTACAGCAGTTTTGTTCATTTGCATATTGAAATTTGAAATTGTTGTTTTGACGCGCGCGCGCGCGCGCTTTGCAACACTATCAGCTGTTGGCGCTGCCATATACACCGCTTGGTGTATTAGGGCATTTGCGTTATCTGGCAGCACCATGCATTTAATGCGTACAACCTTTTTTTTTTTTACATAAATAGCCGCGCGCAGTGGCAGGTTTTCTAGTTTGTTTTTTTTTTTTTTTTGGAATTTTTGTGTTAAATAGCGCTGTCGTTCTCACGCTGGCAATTAGAAGTTAACAACTATTTATATAGCAGAAACCGAATCGTTATTGCCGCCGTTCAAAATTGAGTTTCAAGTGAAATTTCTAGTTAATAACATTGTGTGCATTTTTGTGGAATTGTGAAATTGTTGGTGGCGGCAACAGACATCGGATCGGAAAAGCGAATTATAAGCCGTAAGCAATTGGATCGCCAGTGCACCCACACTCATTAAAACACACACACACACACAGAAAGCAGCAGCGTCTTCTAATTAGAACAACTCGCACACACACACACGTACATGTGCATGTGCATGCACGTACAATATGCGATATTAAAAAGTAGAAAAAAAAAAACGTCTTGAAAGGCCCAGCCGCACATTTATGTTGTTGTTCTTAAATGTGCACATGTATGTGTGTGTTCCGTTTTGGTGCGAACAGCGTCTATTATTAATAAATAATAAAAATCTGCACAAGCGTCGCCGTCAGCGTTGACGTTGCAGCTGTAACGGCAGTTACATAGTAAGCAAGTACAAAAACAAAAATAAATAGGAGAGAGAGAAGAAAAAAAACACGCGGCCTGCACATTTTGTTGTTTTCATGCACACACACGCACACACATTCTTAGCTTAGATGATACTAAATGTATATGTATATGAATTTCTTTTGTTTATTAAGCATATTGTGAAATCGTGGCAAAACAATCAACTTAAGTAAACCACACAAGAACACAAACCGAAGTGCAAATTACAACAACAACAACAACATCTACAATTACAACAGGAGCAGCGAAAAATCGGAAGAAAAAAAACTAAAGAGAAGTTCGTTAAATTGACGTTGGTCAGTTGAGTTTGTCGTTTGGTTACACAACCAACAACAACAACAAAAATAAATTCTGAATCGGCATTCGAAATCAGAATCAAAACGTGTGTGAAAAACATCAGCACGCGGTCACACACAGACACACACTTACACACAGACACACACTTACACACAAACACACGGCACACAGAGACAGCGTCAGCGAGAGCGTGCAAAAGAGACAGCGTCAGCAGCGCAGACAGTAAGAGCGAGGGCAGCAGCACCAACAACAAACAGGTCATTTTTGTTTGTGCAACCGTCGCCGTCGCCGCTAGGCATTCTCTCTCTCGCTCTTCATATAATCCAAACGGCGAGAGCAACAGCTGAGCAGCATCCAACAAGAAGCCGCAAAATTCTGATTGGAGCGCACGCGTTTGTTGCTTTTATCATTGTTCTACAGCATTTACCGGTAAGTGTTTGCCGTTATTCTAACTAGCAACTTATACTATGCATGCGCGCATGCATGTGTGTCCATTATTTGAATAAGTGCGTAATTTCAGTCTCTACAAGTGGGTTTGGGTTGTTTTTTTTTTTCTTTTTTTTTTATTGATTTTTTGGCTCGTAATTACATGACAATTAGTTTTGTTGTTTAAGTAGCGCGTTTTGTTGTTGCCATTGCCGCTGTCCAGTTCCAGGCCGTGCATAACCTTGACATTCGCTTTCCATACAAATTTATGTGCATGCCGATGGATATGTGCGTATGTGTTTGACTGAGGCGTACGGCTTACACACTGTCCAATTGGACTGGAACAGCAGTGGCCTTGAGCGTTTGGCCTGGAAGCTTCTAATTTGATATTTTAATCAACTTGGAAACTTATCACAGCATATACATATATATGCATATATGTATGTGCCTGCATATCATACGCGATTTATTGCATGACACATTTCTGTGAAGTCATTCACATGCCAAAATCGGCAATTAGTTTGAGTTGAGAAGAGCGCAACTTTTTATGTACATATATTTCTGATCAGCAATTAGTTGAGAACGAGCTTAGTAAACCAAAAAAAAAAATATATATATATAAATCAATATGCATATGCTACGGCTGCTGTGACGTCACTGCCGCATTACTCATGCACAAGTCGCGTGTGATAAACAAAAAGTACAATACATTTTAAACGGGTTTAAGTTCAAGCTTGTGGATAACGGGTCTGCGGGAGGGTCCATGGAAGCGGTGAAGTTCAAGGCACTCGCAAAAATGAGAGTTAAGCGGCGAGAGTGAGAGCGAGAGAGATCAGCACTAACACACGCATACAAGTTCGCACGCATGTATTTGTTGGTATCTGTTTTCTATGCATGTATGTATGTATGTGCTTCCCACATGTGCTGCAATTTCACCACAAGACAACAACAAGAACAACACCAAACTAAAGATAACCGAACAACAACAGCAAGCACTGGCAAATTTGAGAATTAGCATATCATGCTGTCCAAAGACTCTCAAACATCATCGTGAATCAGCAGAAATAACAGACGCGCCGTGACTCACAATAGGGCATGACACGACACGATACGACACGATACGACACGACACGACACGACCGTGCTTGCATTTGGCCTCGCACATGACAGATATACGCATAGACACGATCGATTGCTATCGGAATCATGCCATGTGCCGTGTGTAGCGTTTATCGCAGTTACCGTAAAACCCACATAGATAACTGTTTATTGTGTTTGTTTCTTTTTCTATTTTATTTGTTTATCTATTGTGTGCAAAAGTCGACCTTGTCATTTATTAACTCATGAAACTGAGCCTCAATGACCCCCGGGCGCTTGACGCCGCCTTCCTTTGGGCTAATCGCAATGTCAAATGACGACGCAAAAAAAAAATATATGTATACATATATATAGGGGGTGGGAGAGAGGAACAAGGGAAACACATAATTACGGAAGTTTCTCGAATTGCAAATTCCCTGTGAAGATGTGATGAAATACATACTTTATCAGTGTTGCACATTTAGCTATTAAATAGCCAACTTCTTGAAATAACCTACAGCTAGGAAGGTTCGCGAATTATGACAAAAAAAAAAAAAATGCAGATAATATATGATGAAATTCATATTGACATATTAACTGAAAACTATTTGTTAAAAGTGCATAGTTCAAGAAGAAGAACTCCAAACTTAAAAAAAAAATGAAATTCAAGAAGCAGAACTCTAAGCTTCTTAATAGAATATATTTCAAGAAGAAGAACGTTTAACTTCTTCACGAAATAGACCCTTCTAAGAAGGGAATATGTATTTCAACAGTTATTACAGATTATAAGATAATTCTGTGAAATATATATGCACATACATTTACTTAAGATCTAGATAAACATCTCTTTATGTACATATCTATTTATACGATATGTGAGCCAGAATTTTGGTTCGAATCTGGTTTCATGGTGCTTACATATAATGTATGTGGTCATAAAGTCATAAAAGGCTAAATTATCTTGTCAAATATTTAAGCGTATTTGTACTTCGTTGTAAATACTTTTAGCCAGTTTCTTAGATAAGACGAGCCACACTTGGACATATTTACGTCTTATCATTCATTATCATCAAGATCTAACAGTACGCCCCCTGCCCCTCCCCCCGAAACACCCTCAAGCCCCTGACTTACGCTCAGACACGACAAGAGTTTACATTTTTAAAGGTCAATTAATTACGACAAATTTCTAAGTCCATTTGAGAGGTCACGAAAGGGTAAAAGGCTTTCTAAATATGCATGCATCTAAGATGCAAAAAGAGTATCTCCGACTCGATAAGGTTAGGAGCTTTTGAGTGCTAGCAGGAATGTCAAAATTCTTTCTATAGTGTATATAGATCCGAGATTGGGTATATTATTTTGTCAAAAACTCAAGCTTTGCCATGCACATCTTTTTGTATGTCACCTTAAAGCTCTGAAAATTTGACGAAGATCGGACAATAAACTCCGATGTTATGCATGAAACTATTTCCTATGCTATTTGTATCGAAAACAATAGGGTAACTGCCAGTCGTGCACTTTCTACTGAAGCAAACTTTTTTTCTTCTGTTTTCAACAAACTAATTCGCTTTCAATTTGTGAGCTCAGTTGAGCTTCTGTTGTTGTTTAATTGACAATGATAAATACTTAACAAATTTCAGATAAATATCTGCTCAAGTGCGTCATCATCATCATCATTATCGTCATAATGATGATGATCATTGCGCTGATGATGATGACAAAAGTGTTTTGCAATTATTTTGCAGTGCGTCATTATAAGAGCTGATGTTTAGTTTTGGAGTGCTTTAATTATTTGCACGCTTACTTTACGCAATTGACAAGATAAATGATTAAACTACAACAACAAGAAAAACAACAACAATCATTGCACAAATCCCATTTTGATACCCTGTAGCTTTGGTGAATGTTCTTAGATAGGATAACACAAAATAAAATACATTTTCGGCGAAGCTATCAGAACTCGCAGCCTAAATTTATTAAATAGGTAAATAAAAATAAAAAAATAAATAAATTAAAAGTTGATAAACATTTGTAATAAAAAAAAATGCAAAATTTTGCAACTTATAGAAAAATAGTCAAGTGAAATCCACAACAAAACGTGAAATTATTTCCCAAATCCACAACAAAACGTGAAATTATTTCCCAAATTCACAACAAAAAGTGAAATTATATCCAAGATCCACAACAAAATGTGAAAGTATTTCCCAAATCTACAACAAAATGTGAAATCATTTTCACAAAAAAATGTGAAACTATTTCCGATCAGCAAAAGGAAACTTCGCCAAATCCAGCATCAAAAGTGAACAAGATTTCACAATAATAAACACAAATATAGGGTATCTGCTGTACAGAGCACTCGCTTGTAGAGCCCATCTGCGTATTACTAATGAAAACCTGTTAAAACAAATTTTTTAAAACAAAATTAAAAATGTATAATATAAATATTATATTGAAGTTTCAACGTCATTTGCATTTGCACAAGTGCTTTCAACAATTCGATATCAGGTTCGATTCTTTTAGTTATTAATAAGACTACACGAAACAAAATAAATAAAAACAAAATACAAAAAAAAAAATACACTAAAATATGAAAAAACTGGGGCTAACACGTGTGGCTGTCATTTATGCGGATTCTGTTTGCGCGATCACAAATAACATTTTCACATAGAAACAAAAGAAAACAAAACGAAATTAAATTCTAGATAACTCAATGTGTATTGTTATTTGAAATGCCTCGATAAGCAAATGTTAAATGAACGTTAATAATAATTCTGATTGCATTCAATGGAATTCCAATCTGTTTTGCCATCTTTTAGCCGACCATTTGTCAGTCTCAGCTGTTGTGACTCAAGACTTTTGAGAAATTTTCCCCCAATTTTCCACCGAGGAGCGTGGATTTGGGCAATAATATGAAATTACACATGCCGAAGCATATTCATCTATCAGTCAGTCAGTCGATCAGTTATTAAGTCAGGCAATCAGTCAGTCAGTCCCGTCAGTCTTTCAATCAGTTAGTCAAACAGTCATTGAGTCAGTCAATCAATTATTAAGTCAGTCAATCAGACATTAGGTCAGTCAATCAGTTATTAAGTCAGTCCATCAGTCAGTCAATCAGTTATTAAGTCAGTCAATCAGACATTAGGTCAGTCAATCAGTCAGTCAACCAGTCATTAACTCAGTCAATCAGTCAGTCAGTCAGTTATTAAGTCAGTCCATCAGTCAGTCAATCAGTAATTAAGTCAGTCAATCAGTTAGTCAACCAGTCATTAAGTCAGTCCATCAGTCAGTCAATCAGTTATTTAGTCAGGCAATCAGCCATTAAGTCAATCAATCACTTAATCAGTCAGACTATCAGTTAGTCAATCAGTCCGTCAGTCAGTTCATCAGTCAGTCAATCAATCAGTCAGTCTGTCAGTTAGTCAATCAGTCAGTCTGTCAATCTGTGCATCAGTCAAATCGAGCAAATAGTTTTACATATATGTATCTATGCAACAGTGAATATTTCTCAATTGACAGCTGTCAAATTCTGAGTTGCATATTCACAAATGAACACAAATGCACATTTACTAACGTATATACACATACACACACACACACACACACATATACATACATATATTGTGTATGTTTGTATGTGATTGAGTAACCGCGTGTCTAGTATTCAACTGTTGGGGCCCCACACACGACTTATCTATGCAACAATAGCCTCTGCTCTCGCTCTCTCTGTCTCTCTCTCCCTCGCTCGCGTTCTCTCTCGCTTTCTCTTTCTCGCTCGCTCGCTCGCTCGAACGGGCTCATAGATTTCAATTACGTCGCAAATTGTTTGTGTGCTCCTTCCGTTCTCCTCTTCGTAGTTCTTTAGTTTTATTTATTTGCTTAGATTCGTAATTTTTGCCCGGCTTATGCGTCGTATACGTAATCTGTCGTAA